TCTAGCTGCATTAGCTTTGAATGATGGGAGATATATTCTAACATCATTGGGTAGAAGCAAGGTGGAGGAGCTGATATAAAATGAATATTTAGATTTGAGCACTTAGCTCTTTTATGCCAAAGCTCAACATGTTTTTATTACGTTTGTCATTAACTATTTCCTAACTTAACAACTGCATGTATGTTTTAAAGACAGCATACCAAAATGGATATATTTGTAATAGTTATGTACAGATAAGCATTTGGTTCAGTGACAGTAGCGTAAAAGGTTTTTATAAGCAAGGGAAAGATATTTATAAGGAAAACTGTATAAAATAGCAGCAATGTAAGATTTGGGAATGGGATTACCTAATATATAGGATCCTTAATTGAATTACTAAGACCTGAATGATTTTCCAAGCTGACATTATCTAAACATGGAATGGTTTGCATCTGCTTATTCTGTGGGCTTTTTCACTGCTTAGTCTCAGCTATAATTACTTTTGAGGACTTTAGCACAAATTATTTTTTTATTATTATTATTTTCTTGTGCTCAGCTGAGCTGCTCAAAAAGGTTCTTCATCAGGGTTATCTTGAAAGTGAGCAAAAGTCAGCTCAAGTGTAAAGAAAATACTGTCAGCAATGGGCTAACTGCTGAAAACTCTGAGGACATATATAAACTCACTAATTGGTATCCAGGATTCCATACACAAAATCTGGTGTCACAGACCACATTAAAATTCACCTCTAAATCTACTGTACATTATTCACACATACATAGACACACTTTAATGCAGTGCAGAAGTACAGGTAGTCCTTGTTTAGCAGCTCCCTCATTAAAGACCATTCGCAGTTCCAGTGGTGATGAAAAAGTAATTTTATGACCAATCCTAATATTTTCAAGTCTGTAAAGCAAAGGAAAGCTGACATAAGATCATAAGCACAGTTGCAGTATCTCTTAATGACTGCTTTTTAATTTAATTTAATTTAATAATTTAATTTATATACCGCCCTTCTCCCGTAGGACTCAGGGCGGTGCACAGCATATTAAAACAGACAAACAAAATACATCAAAGAACAAAAAACCCCCATAAAACCAAATTAAAAGCCAAATATTCGAAGCTGTGTGTCAATTAAAATTTTCTTAAAATCATCCCTACCTAAAATC